CCACATACACAACTGTCCCTCCCCCAAACACGAGCACCAGCATTTCACAGCCTTCTGGTAGGTACTGCAGTTTTAAATCTTAGATTAATGTGTTGTAACATGCGGAGACAGAGATGTTATGCCAGGTCGACCACTGTCCAGTCTCATCTTTTAACCAGCCCACCTATCTGTGTTAATATTAGTAATTATGGTTTCGATTTTGGTATTTTACGAGTTTGGTTAAGTTGTGCAATTGCATCCGCATCTTCGTCATAAGGTCATGTCCATGATGCTGCTTGTCTGTGCTAGCGCGTACTGGCACCTGATGTCATTTTTTCGCCAACTTAAAGTCATATGTCATTGGTTTTGACTTCCTCCTGACCACCCAACCTTAAAAAGCAGCACTTGAAGCGGCATAAGCCATGTCATGTGGTGTTGACCTGCATATAAGAGCATAAACTAGCTTAACAATAATAAAATGTAATAACTGGTACATAAGCTGGTGAACAAGTCCTCCAAAGTCTATGTATCAAATGCGTACTTCTACATTGTGCATTTTAGAACCTTGTGGAAAATGGGGGCCTTTCACCTGCCAAGTATGCCAACACGGAACTCATGAAGATCCCCAACTTCCTCCATCTATCCCCCGAACACATACAGAAGCATTGCGAGGCCTTGAAAAGTAGGTTAGCCCTTCACACAAACCCTTTCTTTCCTCAGAATTTACTACAAAGTGGCCCGAGGGACTCAAGACGGATAGTGATGTGGAGAAGCACTATCCAGTCGAGGTGGTTTACCGCACATTCCTGAATAGTGCCCCCTCTATTCGTGATCGACGCGCTCGTTTCGTCACTCTGCGCATTCCCTTGTCCACTTTAAAGCTGGACAAGCGAAGTCGCCTGAAGCTGCTGCGTCTAGCCAAATCCTACGGTTTTGAGCGTGATATGGCACAGTACTATGCGGACTCAGATACACTGGAGTTGAAGTCAGGTCGTTGTCCAGTGAAGCGGCAGAACTACGACTATCTCACTTATGTGCTCACCGTGCTTACGATGGAATCCAAGGTTAGCTGATTTCTGTAGCCTGTCAAACTTGTAATTTTCTAGACAACTACCTTTTACAAAGACAGTACTGGAAAACGTCGGAATTTGCGAACGGTTAATAATCCCCGAAAACTGGCGTCAATGAATGTTCCAAGGCATCGGGGTACTAATTAAAGACTTTGGTAGGATTGTGTCGTGGGGTCGTCTAGGGAAAGTGTGAAGCGCGCCCC